TTGTGATGCTGTTTGTTGATTATTTGAAATTATATTGTGTATTAAGTTGAGTTTTTTTATTTGTATGTTTTTTTAGATACATATATTTTTTTATTGGGGGCAGATGTTTTAAGATTTTATTCTTCTTTCTGCTCCTTTTCATTTGACTATGTTGTGATCGTGTTTTTTGACACGTTGTTGTATTATTTGTTTGTTTCTATATTTTTTTATTCTTTTATTTTTTTGTTTTATTATTTGTTTGATGAATGAAATAGATAGATAGATCTATCTATCTATCTACATAGACTTAGGAGTGGTAGTAGCCTACTAGCACATCTAAGTTTACTTATTGCATATAACTACTAGTAGCTAGTGTTGATCCCCAACACAAGATCTGACTGCTAACTGATGCCTTCATTAAAACTTTGCCATTAACTACAAATGTCACTGACAATTTCTGACAGCAAAATATTCCATTAACATGACAGATTTTAATGAAATGTTCTGAAAACAGTGTTTAGAGGCCCATCTAAAAGCTTTCTTTGCAGTCAACCTGAATAAAAAAGCCACAACTAGAGAACACAAAAAATACATCAGTTTTGAAAAGTCTTATATAAGAATATTACTTGAGTAAACATCTTAAAGTATCTGATATTTTTTGTACTTGAGTATCAAAAGTAAATTTTTGACACAAAATCTACTTAAGTAGTAAAAGTACTGAGTAAAAGTGAGCAAAGATTTTCCTAAAAGACATTAACTGGGAGGTGACTTCTCCAAAAAATATTTTTTCTAACGGCGTGCCGCTGTGATGGACTGTGTACAAAGTAATAYGGTGCCAGAATTGTATATATTTATACTTCTCATCCAACCACAGTTAAATGCACTCTATCCAGGAGAGACAGTTTATCAGGATAATATATTTTTAAATAATAAAAACACAGAATAAAATAGGAGAAACAACTTTCTACTTCTTACTTTAAAAAAATGTAGAGTACAAAGTACAGATAATTGTGTAAAAATGTAATGAGTAAAAGTAAAAAGTACACTGAATTAAAGTACAGATAACCAAAATTTCTACTTAAGTACAGTAACAAAGTATTTGTATTTAGTTACTTTACAACTCTGCTGTTCAACATGTGGATCTTTTACATGTCCGTTTCCACGTCATCATAAAGCAGGCTCAGGAAACAAACATGTCTAATAAGACTTTGTAGATTATTGTGTGATCAGGTTTTAATGAATAAAACTAATGTATTTATTAAACCATTCAACACATCTACTGAAGAAATAAAAAGGCAGCTTTCCTCAATATAACAGAGATAAGCCCACCCCACAGACAGAAGTGGGTCAGTGTGGTTTGGAATARATGTACCAGCTTTGACACACTTACACCATAAACAAACACAAAGACCCTCTCAAATAAAGCTCATTTTTACTTTCATCACTTGCTTTTCTGGTTTGTTCTTAATAAAAAGGAAGTGTTGCCTTCCGCAATGTCCATTTTTTTTATTTTACTGCAACGTCAGAACAAAGAGGAAGTGTCCACAGCTGGCAAAGACTAACATTTTTTATCAGAAAAATCTTTTTTTTTTTTTTGTTTCTATATAAAAAAATCAAATCCTGACAGTGGCTCAGGGAGGTTTTAACTCATTTAAATATTTGCTGATTATTGGAGCTGCACAGATTTTCTCTTTGCTCCACAAACTACATTAAAACAGAATGTGAGTGAGCTGAAGACGAGCTTTGGTGGCTTCAGGGGGTCAGTTTCCCTTTTCACAGGAACTCTCATGTGGTGAGTGCGTCTCATCTGCTGCCTGCACTGAGCGGAATATGGCCAAGCGTCAAAAAACCTCAATGTACTAACACGAACTTAAAAMAAAAAAAAAAMAAAAACAGTATCTGAATTATGTATCAAACCAGCAGTTCATACAGCTTTTTTAAAATGCCAAACTCACCAACTTTGCCAAAGCACATCCACAGAGGAATGGCCACCAGAAGAGGACTCCTGTCCCACGGAGCCATGATTGAAGCAGGTGGACTGGGCTCTATCAGCAGGCGGTGGCAGGCGTTGGCTTCTCTCTGCGCACTGGCGAGGGGATGACGATTGTGTYGCTTGCAGCTCTTCAGGGGAAGTTGTGGTCTGAGCTTGAAGTCCATTTGCCTCAGATCTCATCAAACCACTCCCCCCTTTCAACACTAAACCAGAGGAAGGACTTCACCGCTAAAGGCTTTGGTATCTGCAGTCGAATTTAATACTCAGTTTCACACATTTTCAGACTTAAAAAAAAAAAAAGAAATAGAGCGGATAAAGTAAAAGAAAAAAAAAGAGGCTTCAACTTGGAGGTAAAATATTTATTAGGTTCATTTAGGGTGTTTACATGAATAATCAGAAGCATATTGAACTGCAGAATATGCTCCTACTGTGAAGAAAGAACAGGAAGAGAGTCAACTTCATTAGCGACGTGACGCTAACGGTCAATTTCACCAAACACGATGTCCTGTGTTCCTGTGGGACAAGATTTAAAGACTGTGAAGTGACTTAATGCTAACTTTTCCTTCTCTTTTTGTAAAGTGCAAACAAATCTATTCTTACCAATAATGGCCACCACATCAGCCAACATGTGTCCTTCAGACATTTTGTCCAAACCAGCCTGCAAAACACACAAAGCACCAGGATTCACACAGTGACCTCTGACCTAACAACTCTCAGTAATACAATAATACACACTGACTAACAGTTTGTTTATGTGACAAAATAAAACAGAACGGCCTTACAAATGTCTAAGTTAAACTTCTGTTAAACAAACAGCTCAGATACAAACAGGAAGAAACGTTTCTGTGCTTCAAAAAATATTTAAAAAATTTCAGGAAAAAAAAGCTAATGTAGCAAATGATCGTTGACGAATAGCTTTATTATTTGATAAAATACACACCAGGTGAGCGAAGCCAGGAGCTTTGATTTTGCAGCGATAAGGTCTGCTGGAGCCGTCGGACACTAAATAAACACCGAACTCCCCCTGCAGGAAACACACAGCACAAACACAGTCCAGTGAGCAGAACACACAACTACAGGTTCCTGTTTATCTCTTCCTGTTTCTGAACAGGTGGATTTCAACAAATGTTCATTTCAGTAGCCTAATGTTTTGGCAACATGTTATCTTTTCAAGAATGCATCTGCATTAATCACTTTAGCTCTGCTGCTTCAGCCACAGGAGGCTTTTCCTAACCGACATGGAACCATTTAAGGGGAAATAAGCTTTTCAACAATAAAAGATTTGTTGCTGTGAATTTGTACACCGATCAACCAAATGAACAATTACTTCCTTTTTGTGTAAAGTTTATATTCACTGAGAGATTTCATGCTGAACAAAAGGTCATTTTTTAGGCTAAAACGTAAAAATTAAACGCAGCACTGGTTGCTAACATTAGCCCTCATTAAGACAAACATGACAGATAAACAAGTTTAGAATTTTCTCAGATATATTGAGAACTTTTTCTTGTGGGTTTTTGTATTAAAGGACTAAAAACCAATGTAGGAGTTGTGTTTCCAAACTCTACTTAAATTATCTCAGTATCAAAATAAAGCTGCTCTGGTTTTACAGATATTGAGGATGGAACTGAATTCTTTTCCCCCGTCCCACCTGAAGACTTTTTTCATTAGACAGCATATAACCTATTAAAACCATAATGATTCAGGCTAAACACTTTTGGAAACCATAAATCCACATGTGGAMATCACCTGTGCAGAGATTCATGCTGCTAAAATGAACTGGAGCAAAGTTACAGAGGTTTTAGTAAAGAAATAATTTGGTGTTTTGTCATTCTGCACAGGACAGACCATGWTGGTTCCACCAATAAATGGTAAGAAATCTAAAGTTTTTAATGACAAAAGTTTTTTAGCCTGCATGAAAAGACTTGTTATTGAATGCTTGTTTCATTTAAAAGAGTCGATCATCAGATATTGTCCAAGATTAACCTTCAGGGTGGATATAGCTCGCTCACACCGAGGACCTATCCATGTCATCATTTACCCAGAATGCTTTGTGTGTAAATAAAATGGCTCAGTCCGTGTTAAAATATATTTTAAAAATTTACAAAACTAAACAGGTTACAGTATTTTTACAGACTATATTTTGCAGCTAAAATGTTGCAAGTAATCATGGCTCACTTTAATACACCAAATAATCTAAAGCCAAACATTTTTTTAACATTTGACTGAACTCAACAATACTAAAGCACACACAGCTGAAACATAAGGCTTAAAAACATGAAAAAAAGGAAAAGTTTTAAAACTGACACTTTGTTTATAGAATTTTTAGCCTGATATTTGAAAAAACAAAGAGGTGGGGTACAATCAAACTGGTCTCACCTTAGGTGCCTCTATAGCAGTGTATGTGGCCCCTGGGGGCACCTGGTAGCCCTCTGTGTAAAGTTTGAAATGATGAATCAAAGACTCCATGGAGGTCTAATAATAATAAATAACACAAATTAAAAGACAGATACATATTGAATGTGCTGATGTAAGCTTTAAATATATCTGAATAAAAGGTTATTTCACCTTCAGACTACAGGTAAAGAATTAAACTTTTACAGCAGAACTATCAGAATTCTGAGAATAATTACACAACGAAGGCATGGACAGAAACTGATTCAATGCAAGAAAGAAAATAACTAAACCTAAAAAGAAAAGGTTCAGTATTTTTCAGGATAAATATTCTGTCAGTCACAACCCCCCCCCCACCCCTCTCTGCTCACCTTCATCTCAGATCGTTTGGGTGGGGCCACTTTGGCATCATCCACTTTGATCTCCCCCTCTGGCATCTTGTTGAGGGCCTGGTGCATGATTCTCAGAGACTGCCTCATCTCCTCCACCCGGCACAGATACCTGAACACGAACACACACACACACACACACACACACACACACACAGAGTTGGTTTTCTTGATAGCTGCTTTCACCGAATCCTTGATGTGGGCCCACATACTGTCCAATAT